AGAGGATGTTTTATGGAACCAGGAAAGCATAATTTATCTGGACCATGACGGGGAAGTTATAAGAATGATATATACCAGTTTCAACGTTAATGATTCGTTTTTAAATTAACAAGAGAGGAAATCTTCAGGTAATTCCGTCGGAAGATTGATATCAAGGAAAACTCAATACAATAAGATTATTGCTTTACGAGAGCGGCAACCGATGACGCGTTCGCCGACAAGTGTGTCCACTTATGAATGCAAGGAAAAATTGATGGTATTTTACATACATAATAGATGGTATTGGTTGAAAGGCAGAATTAGTGTAGAACAGGTATGGAATAGAGTGGCGATTATTGAAAACGCCGATCACCTCAAAATTACTAATTATCATTGGTAATTAGTTTAAAAGAATCAGTTTAGAATTAGTTTAAAAAGAAGCATCGGAGAGCATATGATTCATGTTTCTTAAACGAATTTGAAGTAAATTATGCTGTTTAATCTTATTGGTTTATTCCTACTTATCATCGTCGGTTTCATTGGACCTTGGAAAGAGTTCAAATAAATAGATTAGTTTTCTGGAATCTAACAAGCATTATCGTCATTTTATTTGACATTCTTTTAACTCGAAACTTTGAAATTGTACCAAGGAAGTATACAACTACCCTCACACCTATTATTTCCACGAATAAAAGAAAGTGACTCTTTTGACGATTTTTTTTTTAAATAAAAAGAAGATAGTTTTTTGAGGTTAACGTAATCTAGCGACCAAATACGAATAACCAACCGATTGCGAACTCGAATACTATCCAGGAACAAGTATGTACCATCCGCCATGTCTCTCTCGTTCTCTCACTTTTTCCTCGCGTAGCGACATACATACAGACCGTGATTCTAATCGAAAACCTACCTACCGGTCGCATGCCGCCCGAGTGTGTAAGTTCCGTCGGGCAGGTTCGTCGCCTCCCGGTCGATTCTGTAACGGCGCGCGCAAACTGCACAGCAGCAGGTGTCCGCCTGCAATCACGGCGAATGCGCATTCCAGCGGGCCAATTTACTAGCTTTCTCGAACTGGAAGCCACGCACGGTCGTGCCCGTAAGGAGGAGGAGGAGGAGGAGGAGGAAGATCGTTTGCATATACGCCGGCGACGGCGACGGCGATGCCCAGCCCGCTTGGGACTCGTACTGTACAGATATCGTAGGTTCACCGAGTACATACTAGGACTGTAGGTATTCAGATATTCGAACTATTCGAATAATGCGAACAATTTCGAATTCGAATAGTGGGAAGTATTCGAATAATTCGAGTAGTACAAAGTATTCGGTCAATTAGAATAGTACAGAGTATTCGAATATTTGAATATTCGAATAGTATTAAGTCTTTAAAGGGTCTTAAAACCTTGAGATATACTAGATTGAAGTGATCGAGCAATCGTTATAGGAGGGGTTAGATGAAACTTCGAATAAATAATTTTCACGAATTTTTCTGTACGAACTTTTTTTATCCACACCTGGGGGGAGGGGTGGGGGGTGTACAATGAGACCATTTGGATTGCTCGCGCGTACAAACGCGCGTGTCCTTTCGTTCGAATTTCGATATTGCGCGCGACGGTGCTTATGCGTTGCATGCGAATCGATTTCTGATGAAAATCCTTTTTCCGCCGTGATTGTGGATTCTCTACCGCGCGTCTCGATTTCTTTTTTTCTTTTTCTCTCGTTTTCTCGTCGTTTACTACAGATAGTTTCCATTCGAATAGTTCTCACGCGTTCCCCATTTGGCCGTGATGCGCGGCGAATGGTAGATTCGTTTGGGAACAATAAGTCACTCTGAACAGAGGATAAGTACTTTATCTTTCGTTTCTTATTGTTGATGTGTTTGTTGCTTGATGTATTCTGTTGATTTCTCGTTGTTCGATTTGTAAAATACAAGTGGTGGACAAAATATTCCTCTGTATCTGTCACCTGATTTTACGTAGAAGAACAAATTTCTGTGTAGATATACGTGTTTGTTCAGACTGCAGACATCGAAAGTATTCTATTTGTAGGGAACGATCAACATTCTATTACAAGCAGAATATATTAAATAAATCATTCGCCGGTATGACGTTTCATTTGTAACACAACTTGTCCAATAAAAGTCCGATGGATTGCTTTGACGTGACAGGTTCATGTTCACCGATTGCAAATTGTCAGCCGACTTAACCATAAATCATTGCATGACGCTAGTTGTGTTCTACAAACGTAGCAGATGTTTGTTTTCGATTTTGTAAATAGTAAATACACAATGTAACAACATCTAATTCGCTAGACTGCGGATTTTATGCATTTACAGTTTAATGTTTTAATGAAAAATAAGTTTAATAAATTTTAAATACGATTTTTCTTTTTCTTTGGGTTCCGATAAAAGCTTTAATACAGTAAATAAATTTGTTTAGTATTACTTTTCGTAAATAAATACTTGAAAACTGATATTCGCATAAACATTGGCAACATATCGTTACTTAATTTAAAACATAGTTACTTAAAACTTGCGTAACTATGAAAAAATAAATATTCAATTATACAACATTAAAATATCTTAAAAGCATATTGGAGAACAATACAGAAAAGAATCACCTGCGTGCGAAACTTTTGTCTGAATAATCAATGTAATATTGTCTAGCTTATTCAAATAATAATATAACGTTGGTGAATAATAAACATCCAATCCCCTCCCCCCCGTTGCTTATCAATCCATGGGACCCTCGAAGCTTTGATAACCCTGGGCCATTAGAAATCTTAATCCAGGTCTGCACTGATTATTGAACATACCAAACTATAGTTAAATTGTGTATCAATATGTTCCAAAAAAAAAAAGATATACTTCATTATTATTGAAGTAATAATAACACTGAAAACATAAAATCTGTAAGTTCTCCATCTGTTTACAACAATTTGATCACCCACTGTACGTACCGTTTCGTTAATAAGTTTCCAGTGGGTATCTCGCATTTAGACTTACACCGTCCCCAATGTCAATAATGATCAGTACCATTCTACGGATCTGCGGAACAAGCTTACGACACACTATGCTAATGCCATGTAAAGTGGCTCTATTTTTGTCGCGGTTGGACACTGTTAAGGAATATAATTATTACGGCATGAATATTAAACGCGGCTTCGATAATTATGATAAACAAGTGTCACAACTTCTTCGAGTTTGATTATTACGAAACATGTAAACGTTCGTATGGCCGTGCTTTTACGCTGAAAACTTCTCTCCTCGCCCCCTCCTTCTCCTTCACCTCCTCCTCCTACTGCTCCTTCTCTTCTCTTCTCTCCACCCCTATACAACATCGTGTGATCGTTATGCATGCCACGTAAAGATAATTGAGAATAATCGATCGATCGGCATGCCGACTGACGGAACGATCAATTAATTAAACCCGCAACGGTACAACCCGGTGTGACTTAATTGCAGGGCCAACGTGTTGGGAAACCATGGTGGTGAGCCAGTATGTATCGCCTATGTATATCGACGAAGTGAACGGCTCCAAGCGATACGTATTACAGACCGTATGCTATATACACGCAAGCCCGTTGAGATTCTTAAATAGTTAATATTCCTGAAGGTTGGCTATTAATAATTCCAATCCACGGCCTGGCACAGGCAGGCCGTTCTAATAAACACGACACACGGCCGCGAACGCGATCATTGCTGCGCGCCGCGAGTAGGTACACCGTACCCAGATAGCACCTTACATCCAAAGGATGTCCGTTTCATGTTCAGGTTATATCCGAATGTCCTACGTCCATTTTGAATATCCCTATAATTTTCGTAGGACTTACATTTCGGATGTTCTAAAAATGTCCGTCACGAAAGTCCTACGGATGTTCTCACGACTTAAATTTCGGATGTTTTGAAGCGTCCGTCCCGAAAATCTTACGGATGTTCTCAAGACTTAAATTTCGGATGTTCTACGAATGTCCGTTTTTTAAGACTTACAAATACTCTTTGGATTTAAATTTCGGGTGGCTTCGTTCAGTAATTTTGGCTCGATTTCATTCCATGCAACGTGATGGATCCCCATGAGGAAGGTGTCATTCTTTAGAGAATCAATACAGAAGTGTGACAATACTAATGGTTTTGTGCGGAAACCTCAGGAAATTCGAAAAAAACATTTTCTTTTCTTAAACTGTCTCTAACCAACACAGAATTAGTATTGTGCTGTGAAATAAAAATGAACACAATGCACACACAGATCATATCCCCCAGACCTATATTTTTCTTATAATTCCTTATAGGAAGTTTAACCTTTTATTTATTAACAGGAACTAACTTAATCTAATTTCTAGTTTCGCCTGCAGTGTACATAAATATGTATATGCCCAGGGTGCAGTGAAGTTTCTAATGTATTATTCGAAAAAGAGGATCATTATCCACTTTCAAACTTCGATGACGCACACGGGCGTCGAAGGCGGGGACTTTAAGCCGTAAGGCGTGTTTTTATGTGTATATGTTCACATGAGTCACGTGTGTACCTGACGATTCGTTGAGAAGAAATGTCGTTACTGCGCTCTGACGAATCCTAGGATGTCGCGATAGGCAGGGAACCAATCAGGGTCATATGTCGTCAATATCTGACTTCGACGTGTACATGATATACGCCCCCCCCATGTTCATAGTAGGTAAAGGAATCGGGTTATGAGCTCCGGATACGGTGTTAAATTTGTTACAGTTGGCAGCAAAAGTATTGATACACCCATGTAGGATAAATCATAAACAAATGTTAACACCTTCACAGTCGGCTGTTTTGCAGCGAAACCCTTAGTTTATGGCCCCTTTCCCCTTTATAGGCCGAAAGAAAAATGGTGACACTTAGGAATTTATTAAATTTTCATGACAGTCTCAGATCAGAAAGTTTTAAAAAGCGGCCTTTAAGTTTAATAAATTTTTACTATTTCCTTCGCGATTTCGATCAATTGCAATGTTTCCAAATAGTAATGACAATTAATGTTCTTGTGCTACCGTGTGTTTCCAGTGCACGAGATGAGACCGGAGGACATTGGGATCGTCGGTTTCAGGGGTGATCCTGACAAACAACCGTTCATGGTCGGTTACTTCAAGAGTTCCGGCATCAGGGAGAAAAAGGTACGACAAAAGCGAGATGCCAGGAGAAGAAAAAAGAGCGATTCCTCGAATTTGGATTATCGGAATAATCCGTACACCGGTAAGTCCGGAAGGTAACGTCCGATGCTACACAATAAATATCTTGTATTTTTCACACATTTCACACGATTTTTCATCCGTCCGAAGAATTATTGACCGCCTAAGGGCAGGAGGTCTGACAATTAGACAGAAGTAGGAGTTGGATCTATTTCTGACCCGTGGTAAAATTCATCACCGATTCGTCATAGAATTAGAGAACCATAGAAATCGAATCAAAATGGTATCCAGTGGGCACACTTTCTAATGTAACTTTTTTTTATGTTGACACGTTTTATGTCACACGTAGAGGTCATACGAAGGTCAACTTTGTTTCTTTAAAGGGTATCGTATATTTTTAATGCCCTAATTCGGCATAAGTGACTTCGTACTTTATGTGGGGAATAACGAGTAGCATCAAATAGTGCATTAAAAACTACACGATTCCACTTGAAAAAAACAAAGTTGATCTTCATATGACCTCGATGCGTTCATATAGAAAAAAGATACATCAAAAAGTTTGCTTCCTGATATACCATTTAACATTTCTTAATATCATCAACGGTTTCGGAGATATTGTGTGTCAATTTAAATGGGACACCCTGTACATACAGGATGTAACAAAAATGTTGCTGGCCCCTGAAAGGGGTCACTCGTGAGGCGATTTGGAACAAGTTTTTCCTTAGCAGAAATATTATCCCCGGCTTTGTTAACGAGATATTAACGAAAAACTCCGACGAATCAGAGAGTGAGTCTGTCGACCGAACTCTGATTGTTTTGGAGTTTTTCATTAGTATATAACTTAGATAAACATGGTACTGCATTCCATATTTTTAATCTGTGTTGTACGCAACCTTGGAACTAAGATTTATTGCTCGAGTTCTAAACACATGCAAGAACATGTAGAGCATACTGCGTTTCTTTTTAACACAAAACTATTTAATATACAAAAAACATACATAATTCTGAAAAAGTTTACTCAATAGGATAGATTCACGAAGTCTAATGAGATGACAAATATTTATTAACTTTCGTTGTTTTTCAGATCCCGGTGTGCAGTATAACTCAAAAACCTGTAAAATCCAGACGTTGTACGTCAGCTTCAGGGACCTGAAGTGGCAGGTAAGTTGTATCAGGATGCCTAAGAACACGTAACACGTAATAACCTTTCAATTGTACAGCAGTTTAACAAGTTTATTCTGCTACTTAGAATTCCAAGAAAAAAAAAGTTTTAATATACAAAAATAAATGTAAAATGTACTTTTAATCGATGAAGACAATCTAGTACTTGAATAATCGCGTTGGACTGGTTCTATTCAGATTCGAACGATCTATGGTCCAGTATCTATTATAATACAATTTTCAGGAGGCGTAGAATACACCTGCAAATTCTCTCAAACTCTTGCTAACCCGTTCCATTTAAACGTTCCATACGAACCGTTGATTCGCCCAAGGGATTAAAAAATTATAATATTTAAAGTTAATTTTAATCCTCAGACACCACACTGGTGCAGTAATTTGCTTCAGTGAAACATTGTTTCGTATGTACATAACATTCCCGATTCGCACTAGTGTGGTGTTTACGTATATGCTTAGGTCGGGTGTGGTGTTCAAGGATTAATATACAAAATTTATAGTATTCAAAATGTACCACTTGGTATCGGAAATTACTGAACTTTATGTTAAATTAATGTTCGATTTAATATTTATCTCAGTACTTGAAATAAACTTACTAAGTAGTAGGAGACTTTTCTTCTAAACCACTTTTTCCGCTAGCAGAAGCCGAGTTTGTTTGCGAGTGTACAAGTAATTTAGATGGCAGCTAGGTTAGGTGATATACCCTGTATAACGTTCCATGTAAGCACCAGTTATTAATAAACGATGATTTCCAGGACTGGATCATAGCGCCGGATGGGTACGATGCATATTATTGCAGCGGTGAATGCAATTTCCCTCTGAACGCTCATATGAACGCGACCAATCACGCAATCGTCCAAACGTTGGTGCACCTGGTGAACCCAGGTAAGGTGCCGAAACCGTGCTGCGCGCCGACCAAGCTCTCACCGATCTCCGTGCTGTATTTCCTCGACGAAAGCAACGTTATACTGAAGAAGTACAAAAACATGGTCGTCAAGAGCTGCGGTTGTCACTGATCGCTGCCCCCCCCCCCCCGAAGATTAGTTAATGCGTTGGCCCCGCCGACACTCGCACCACGGGATCGAGGTCCTGAACGTTAAAACGACAGAACGCAACGTTGGGACTGATACCATATCGATACTATCCATACCTGATCCATAAATTTCGATCCGGCATCGAGTAATATATCAAAGATATATGTATAGACATCAAAAGGAATCGATACCCCATCGATACTTAGACTAACGTCTCGATACTAGCGATGGCCGATACAATTCGATATATCGGTTCATGCATATCGATATTTTGTATTGCTGTTTTAAGCAATGATACATTGATGTATCTATACTCCACGGCGCGAAATTGCCCTTCAACATGAATGTATAGATCTTTGAAGTATTCTATTGTGTTTAATTACGTGTTTTTTTAAAACCAGTAAAAACAAAAAAACGCAGTGTATATAAAAATATAATGCGTCAACGAGTGTTCTACTTGATTTTATATAATTAAAAAAAATCTTGTTTCTTTTTTTTTATTAATATCGTATCAATATGCATTAATATCGATACTTTCTGTCCGATATTTTGTATGTATCGATACTAAAATAAAGCAATACGTATCGATACAAAGTATCGATACTCTTAAATGTATCAGGCATCGCTAATCAATACCGCGTTTGATACTTCTACGAAAATCTGGTTACTAATTCGATACTTCTACGAAGGTATGAGCGTACGTTTGATACTTAACGAAAGTATCGGTATCAATACCGTACATATAACCGAATTGGGAATTCCTGTATTCATTAGGTACTTGAAAAGATTCGATTTCTATTGTTCATAACATGGATATCTACTCGGTTGCTATAAAATCGATATTGACTGGTATCGATCCAGGAGGCATCGGTGTCAAACATTGATATCGAGTATCCGAGATTTCAATGCCTTTCGATACTGCTCACTGTGTATTTAGGTATTGAATTATTTGATTATTATTAGTATGTATATCGTATCAGTCCCATCGCGAAACTGGATTTCCAAGACGAATCGGCAAATAATCCACCCGTACGGAAATCGATTCAAGAGACAGCAGCAAAAGATCGAGTAACCTTTAACGCTATATCGGACAACCTAGTGTGTGTTCTTACGTTTCCAACTGCGCGATACCATACTTGCCACGACATAGTACTGGCTGGAAACACGGTATTCATTCGCTTGCGCGGCTGCCAGTTTATTATTAGATTACGGAATTAGTTATTGAATCTGGTTGATCTGTATTATCGAATGGTCATTGAATTACTTAATGTTTTGGAACTTTTTGTTCGGCTGTCGACACTAGAGTTGGAAGTTTCCGGATATTCGAACTATTCGAATAATTCAAATAATTTCAAATACGAATCATTTATTCGAATAGTACGAAATATTCGAATAATTCGAATAATTCGAATAGTACGTAGTATTCGAATATTTGAGTCTTCGAATAGTATGAAGTATTCGTATTATTTAAATAGTCAAATAATAGAAGTGATGGAATTTCGGATTGTACCTAATAGGAATTTGAAAGACAAATAATAATTGTAAAGACCAATGTGAAAAGAACTTCACAATAAAGTTTAAAAGAAATATATTATGTTCAGATTCCTATTCAGTACAATAAAAAATTCGGTCGCTTCGAATATTCGAATACCCCGAATAATCCGAATATTTCAAATATTCGAATACCCCAAATAGTCCAATTTTTCCGAAAACTTCAAAAACATTTGTTTAAAATTCAATTTGAGTCAATTTTATAAATTCATATTGGATGTTCTTAGATTCATCATTTGTCTAAACGAAGTCCTGTTTTCGATTTATTTCCATTAAGAAAACCCTTTTTAATTCGTCTCTCATAAAATAAAAAATCATACCAATGTAATTTCAAAATTTCTATCCACTCTAGTGAATAAATTATTTTTTTCTACGTATAATGTGTAATAACCGAAAGAAAAATTATGATTCTGAAACAAAAACGCCGTGGACCACTGCAGTCCTGTACCATGAACCAAACTGAAAAGATCGAGAAAAAAGAAGTACGACTTTCCGAGTTCAACTGTATTAGCAGTTGGTCAATGCATCTGAAAATCGATTTTCGAACGTGATTTTATTACTTGATTCGGCTCGATCGTGCCCGATCTTCGATCCCAGTGTCTGAGTGTCCGGCCATGGCTCACAAGCGTAAAAACGACAAGCTGATCGATGGCGGATCCAAGCATACGCAGAAGAACATCGGTCGTCTGGTGCCAAATTTCGACTAGTAGGATAGTGTAATTTTCGAAACAAGTGCTTCCGTACTAACGATCGTAATAATTTTCGTGCTGGTGACGATGGGAATTCCGATCGATCGATCGTATACATACGTGCAATCCGACGCGTGATTTGTCCGATTTTTCTTTAATGGATACGCTGTAATATATTATATATGTAACAGTCGGAGACAATTATCAATACTCCGGATCGTTTCTATCTATGTTTCTTCTTCTTCTTCTACTTCGACTTCTTTTTTTCTAATCACCTCAGATATCGCATCTAACGTGCAAAACGTTCAGTCGGTTAATACATGTTGTCCAGTGATATTAATTTAATGACTCGAACTTTTGATATTATAGTCTGACGATGAGAAAGAAAGAAGAATATTGTTCTTAAGAATCTCAATCTCTCTCCCTCTCTCTTTCTCTTCTTCTCTCTCCCCAACCCCCTTTCTTCTTTTGTTATTACTTCGGGAAACACTCGAAACTTGTGTTTCCTGAGCGTCAAAGGTATCTATTGTGAAGGTGGGGATTTCTCATCAGTGTCAGACGCGTGCATTTGTATTTGAATTGCTTCTGAATCGGGCGATCGTCAGACGTCATCTAAGAAAATTAAATAGAAAACACATAAATACGCTACCGTTAGGAAAATCTGGGAATCAGTTATGATCAGACCGCGAATATCCGTGGAAATTCATAATTATCACAGTAATATTTCATTAATATTGACGCATAACATATTAGAATGCCGTATTTTTGCTGAAAAAAATTCGTGCAACTAATTACATATTTTTCGTTAAAAGCGTCCAAGTTGATTGTGCTCGGTGACCGATTCCAAACTTTTCAACAACAGCGTAGATCGCAATTTCGTGTGTTTAGTCGCGACTACGCAGGTGTCTGAAGCTGACAGGGAATCCCACCTGAAGCCGTTAGAAAAAAAATGAATAATGTGTTGTAATTAGTCTTATTTATGTTTGTAAGTAAAGCGTCTCCTCGAGTGAACAGGAACAATGTATGTTAATACTCTTAGCAGATTCGTGCATGTACAAGCTGTTTCATAAGGTAGCACGAATCCCGAAAGTGAACGATCCCCACCCCCGCCCCTCCTGTGAAAAATGTGAATCGATTATTGACGGTATGAATAGGATAGCTTCCAAGGAATTAAAATTTGTACGTAAAATATCAAGAGTCAGCTTCAGGTCCATTTAGAAATCTTTCGTACACAAAAACACCGCTTATCCTGCCAAAACAATTAACGGTGTGGGCCAGAATTTACTGCCATCTTGATATTCGCAGCTAATAATGTTGGAAATCTTTAGACCCAGGAAAAATATTTATTGTAAAATACGATATTAGGTGTATGTAAAAGTAATGGCTGCCGAATCGTTTTTTTTTCATTTTATCAACGAAGAATTCAGTTTGTATCCAAAAAATGGCAAAAAAAATTATAGAAAAACAGGTGGAATATTTCGAGTAGCGGACTCTAGAACAATACTTTAATATTACAAACCTTTTGGCTGTATGAACCATATGCGTACTTTGGAGCAATACAAAAGCTGGCAATGCTTTCCGTAAGTTTACAAGTTAAGTTATAAATAATCAATTAGATAAGAAAACAAACAACCCAAAGTCCAGTAGAAACTTGATCGGAATAAAATTTAATATTAAATCTATTTCATCAGTTTCAGAACTGTTAATAACGATTGCCGACGGAAAAATTGTCATTACCACTGCACGTACACCTAGTACAGATTCCTCTCGATAGACAAAAGGGCGAAGGACGATGGAAAGAAAGAACGAATATTGTTAAAATACGATACGTATCTGAATTATTTCGACACGAATACAAAGCGTTTCATAAGAAATAGTGGACTACTTTTCGATGCACCTAATACTTATGAATGGGAGTGTACTTCTACTTTCTATGTAGACAGAGTGTAAAATAAAAGAAAAATATGCGTGCATACGTGTACATAGAAAGTAGAAATTTCGTTGATACCACTTTGTAATGTATTGTCATTGGCCACGCAAAGAGAATTCAGAATGACATCGACGACGCTAGATGCACGGATCAAGTGCCGTGAATCTTGAATTGGACGAAAACGTTACGTGCAATAGAGCGAGAACTTAATGTTAATTAATTAAACATAGTCCGTACACGGCTTTTCTTTAGCCCTGTTTTCTTTTTCTCTCTTAACGTTTGTTTTTCTCTCTGTATAGATCTATATTTTTTACGAGACCGCGGGAGCAAGCGCGGGAGAATTCATAGTCACTTAAATCAACACGTGAGATTAAAGTTTTAAATTATTTTTCGACGCGAAAATCCGAACGTGCCGCGCTACTCTAGAATGATGCGCCAGCGTTATTTGTTTTTTTTATTATTATTATTATTATTATTGTATTTGTAAACAGGCGTTGTTTTTAACGAGCGTTTAACCGTGTGTGTGAATGAGAACAAAGCATAGTTTATTTTAGCCGATGGGTGTGCGTGACTGTTTTGTGTGCAGTGAAGTAAATTGATGAATATATAGTCTGTGGTATCATTAACACAACTTTTGTAATGACAGTGTAAATATATCGTTGTAAATACGTTCTATAATACATACTTATATATTATGTGTACAACACACTTGTGTGCAGATTCCTGTATCACCATATGTACAGCTCTCGATAATGTTTTTTTTTTGTTTTAAACGCGGCATCAAAAATATAGAAATGTTTTATATAGTTCTCCAATTTTATGATTTTTAACTGCGAAGAAATAATTATTATTAAAATTCAACGTTTTTAGACGTAGTAACCGTTAATGTATCATACGGAAACGAGTCAATAAAATTAAATACATTTCTAAATATAGAAAAGAATTGAACAATAATTCTTTATAATAATGTACAATCTAAACGTTCTAATATTGATATTTCTTAATATGGAAAATATAAAATCGGACGAAACCATGGACGAGGTACAGTGGACTCTAACTATATTGCCACTATAAACATATTACCACGCGTGGCGATTCCCCTTCACACGTAGTTTCAAGAACACAATTTCACTCTTCCACCATGGCAATATAGTTGAGTCCACTGTATGTATTTACTTGTTTATAAGTTACAAACATAACATCACAAATGAGATGTAGAATCACAGACAAGGTGTATGAATAGACTTGTGATTCAATGCACTGTAGACATTCGATTCATGCACGATTCGGAGCTGTAGAGGGCTACAGAAATTTCCACGAACTGTACGTGAATCGAGCGTCAATCACCCGCGCGGTTTCCCTACCGATCGTACGTTCACTTGTGCGATGCAGCTTAGACTATATATGTATAGGGGTGACATGGATGTATGCACTTTTTGATCACCTTAACTGTCTCCGTAATTTTTAGAGATATTAAACAAGCTTATTTACGAAAGTTATTTAGTATTGAAACATTTTATTAAAACAAAATGATATATACCGCAGTTTCTCTGATAAAAAATATGCGAGTTAAACGGGATACCGAATGTATTTCATTGCTTTCTTGCTGAACGACAGAGTGTTCCTATGCTACAATAAGATAGCCTGCAATAAACGAGCGCCTACTATATGACGTCATACCTAACCTGTATGCAACATTATTTCAATTGCTTCTTGTTAATAAGTTGTTATTAAGATATTTGACCATTGAATATTATAAAACAGATCAGGAGCAATTTTTTGGTATCATAATATTTGTGTAAAAAGACCATTTACTATCTATTTTGCAGACAACAAATTTTTGCTTTTTCATTTGCGAATATCTCATTAAATATAATAGGTGCGATGGAGCAATTTTAGATTCCGAGGGAACAAATTGGGAGCATTTTATTAAGATAAAAATTGTTAAGAAATACGTACGTATTAATATTCCGCGCCAAGTATTCTTCGGTATTGATTTCCCTTTCCAATTTTGTAAAGCAAAGTACCGGTAGGAGCAGCACTGTTGTATCATTCTGCTTAGTAGGTATAACGGGGAGTTGAGTATGCAGACGGTGGGTACTGTAAGTGTGTATTTGTATATGTGATCAGCTGGTAAAAGTAGCATTCAAGAAGAATATTTTCTGTATAACAGTTACAGTTGCGTCATGATAGTCCCTGTGATAGTCGTAGACGGAAGTTTAAGCAGAGCACATGATATAATTTGATCAGTATTGATAAAACAAGAGTTTTTATATTGTTTAGAAAACACACAGGTAAAGATTCACCAGTTTTTGTTCGTACACTTGTTAAAATATGGAATGAAATATTTATTGTGCATTAGTGCGAATAGAAAAAGTATTAAGAAATAAACAAATGATCATTACTTTTTATAATTGTATGTTGCAGTCTGTATGACCGTTTTTTTCTGTACACTACAAACATAATGCTTTCTTAAAAACAATTTTATCGACAAGTACACCCGCGATATTTCAATCTTAATAGTTTCAGCAAAAACGTGCTGTAGTGATGAATTGTGTTGCAACCTTAAAAATATCAGTAAAAGTGTATTAGACTAATAAAATACGTTGAATTTGTGTAAAAAATAAAATGTTTCATTAATATATTTAGTAGCTGTCAATGGCAATTATACTTGTGCAATGAAATCTTTTTCCTTGTCTTAAAATAGTTTTGAATGTCATTACCGCAACATTGACCAATACATGCGCGAAGTATATTTAAAATCAATAGAAAACTAAAAGAACGGATAATGTGCAATCGAAATTGTGAAATATATGTACATTAACAGTGAAACGTATTTCGTTAAAAAATATTAATGAACATGATGAAATATCTGTGATGTAATAAAAATGTACAAGGTCAATAATCACATACATACAAGTACCTACTTTACTTTTCTTTTAAGGAAAAATGCACTTCAAAATAGAACTTTTAGTTTTATACTTATAAAAATTTTAATATATTAACAAGTATAAAAAGATATAAACAAAAATTTGTTATAAATCATATAATTATATTAAATAGTTATGAGTTATTAAAATTTCCATGCAACAACTTTCTTTGACTAGTTAATTTCCAACTATAGTATCTTTATACTTGTTTTCCATTAGAATTTTTAAATTTGTACACAACTGTACGTTAATATGAAGATGTTGATAAAATATACTGTGAGAAAGTTTTTATCTTGTTTACTCATATTTTAATAGAAGATTATTTTTCATAACAAATGTAGAAATATGCACATACTATTTTATATTGAAACTAAGCAAACTAAAAGTTTTTAAACAGAAATGTTTAATTAACAAATATAAAATATTAAACTCCAATTTATTTTTTCTCATACAGAATTTATTTTGTTCAAAATATATTAAAAATTTCATTAATCCATTGCTGAAGATTTTATTTTATTATAGTTGAAGCATTTGTACATGTTATAAATATATTAAATTATAACTATGTAAAACCAGTTAGTTTTATGTTTTGTATTTGTCTCGATTATACAAATTATATATTGTTACATCTTTTCACTTAAACTTAAAAGAACAAATAAATCTTGTAACTTGTTAATTATATTCTCTAGATAAACAATGAATACTTCATGGAAAAATTCAAAGGAAATAGATATCCCAGAAGAGGCTCTTAAACAAACATTAGAAGATAATGTATCAATGTCAGATGTACTTTATGCGAAAGCAAAGAAATCACCTTTTCTTGTAGCAGGTACAAATTTACTAAACTTGTATGGTTATAAGTTTTTACTTTTCTCACATTTTTTTATACAAGGAATAACGAACAATAACATTCTTAAGTGTGAAAAATATGAACTATCCAAATATATTACAGTGAATTGTATCAATATGTCAGAAACATTTTTTTAATTGTAATGTTCTTTATAGGAATGGTAGGTTTCGTGGCTGTAGGTGGAATAGGTGCCTATAAGTGGAGAACAAGAACAATACCAGTATCATTATTCCTGATACAACTTCGAGTTGCTGCTCAGGGTACAGTTGTAGGTTGTTTAACTATAGGAATGTTACATCAGATGTATAAAGGATATCAACAGATGCAAGAGAAGAAAGAATAGAAAAATATGATATTGAAAATGTAAATTAAAAAAGTAGCTTAAAGCTAGTTATTTATTTTGTTATAAAAAATGTGTCAAGTATTATGTATGTTCTTAGGCTTGAAAAATGGAATCTCTATCAAAGTATATGATAGGGAACCAAAATGAATAATGTTATTTAAATGAATATAACAATGTTCTCATATTTTCCGAAATGTATATTTCATTAAACAATATCTTGATTGTGACATTTTTTATCCTGATAACAAGATATAAAGCATGGTAGTATGTATATTACTATTTATTTACATAAGGAATAACTATAGTATTATTAAATGCATTGCTAAAATTTATTTAAAATATATTTATGTAAAAAACAATTAACACTATCATTAGTTTTGAGTATATGTATCTATATTTTTTGGAAATGTTGAATAAGCTATAAATAAAAGAATAATTTCAGGAAAAAGGAAAAAATATTTAAGTCCAATTAAATTATTTGAAATATATACATACCTGGATTTTTCAATTATAGAAATACTATATTAAATATATTTTGCGTATAAACATTCAACATAGATCTTTTCGAATTAATCGTTTGTAAAATAAAAAACAAAGTACATAGTTTCATTAATAATGAACATCATGCGAAGTTTTTACACATATCAAGTAATTCAGCGAAAAAATTTGTCACGAAAATAAGACAAATATTACGAAATACGTGTAAACGCGCATTATTAAATTTTACCATAGCCAGTAAATTGTGGCATTAGCTCGGCGAATCATTTGCGACTTATCAAAATACGCAAAGATGGCTGAAGAAAGTGACAGGAGTCAATTGCCACCCGGCTGGGAATGTAGATACGATATCAGAAGTGGACGTCCGTATGTAAATTTTTACAAAAATTACTTCTATTTCGTTAATTAAACTGATAGTAAAAGAATGTTCGCAATAAAGTTATTTCTATACTGTAAGTGAGTACTTTCGTTACGCAATGATAGCTTACATTGTCGCTTCATTTAGTGATGCATAAAAATTAAATGAAATAATAACGGTGAATGAAATTATTATTTTCTCAATGAGTTTGTCATCCGTTTGTTAATACTAATTCTATAGAAATCATTATAAAAAAAACTTCATACTTAAGTAACGGAGTTTTAAGTAAATGAATAAACATCGTTACATTTGTCAGTGAATTTTATACATCAATTCGATTACACGTTTTTCAGATATTTTATAAATCATTTTAATCGAACGACAACATGGGAAGATCCAAGAGTAAGATATTGGCAGTATTCTCAGTATATACAATCACAAAATTCAATGGCACTGAGTTCTGCTACAACCATAGCTTCCCAAGATATACCTATGCAGGTCAGTAGAAAATTCCTGCTACACGTTACTTTATCGTGTGAAATTATCATTCAATTAACACACCCACTTTCAATTATAACCAATATTTGGATGTTACCACGTCTCGTACACATGCACGTATTTTAAATCTAACTAATTGCACCCCCAATATATGTGTTTTTATCATATGCACATGCCGCATTTGGATAAAATATAAAATATGGTACTAAATAATAGACTGGAGGAAATGGAGGTGGTGGACATATAGGTTATGCAGGAGCTCACAGAGCTCCGCAAATCTATCCAACACCGTCTCCTTATCTTAATCCACAACTAGCATTTTTACCTCCTAGCTTACAGGTAGGTAACTCAATCAAAGATCAGTGTTGATATATGAACATATGGTGTAATAAAGTCTCGATTGATATTGTTGATCCTATGTTGTTAATCAATAATATCAGTAATTAATGAAAAAATTAATAACTGGAAAATTTAATCTATGTAGGAACTGAAAACTCCATTATCATTGAAATCAGTTACTGCAATAACAAACAGATTTGGAGACGTGACGTTAGGATCACCAGTACCAATAAAGAACATGGAGACGAGTTTAACGCAGAATTCGGACACTGAGCTACAGGTTGCAAAAATCAATGCCATGTTTCCAACAGTTTCTGATACCCACATTCGACTTCTCTTAAAAAAGTAAGTTTTACGAATTTTTTAGCATATCTATTTAAATCTTTCTTGACATCATATATAATTATTATAAAAGGTTTAATTTATGCCATACCTTTGATTCATGTCAAGTTTTATACTCTTATGTCCAGACCGTACTAATGCTCAAAACTCAGCTTTTTCATGTATTCAGTTCTACTTTTATGCTGCTTATATAGGACGGTCCACTAGAATCATACCACCTTAATATCTTTTGTTGTATTGATATTATAGAACTGTATGTTAGCAATAAATCAATGGTTGCAAGTGGCAAACACGACACGACAAAAAATTTTGTTTCACTATCATTCTCTTTGATGATACCAATATGAATACTGTTTTTTTTTAACAGAATGATATATTTATTCCTAATGTAACAATAGTTAGGTACATTCATATTTATATCTGTAATTTATTGAAATATTATAGTTTACGCTCTCGATATAATTTGGATATAGTTTGCCGCTAAGGTCAAACGTATGTTGTGACCGGCGAACTGTGTCCAAATTATATCGAGAACGTAAGTTGTAATATTTCAATAAATTACAGAAATAAATATGAATTTACCTTAGATCATTAAATTCACTTTGTTCCTAACTACCGTTACATTGGGAAAAAGTATATTATTCCATTAAAAAGACAATAGCATTGATATCGACATCAAAGAAAATCTTCGTAAAAAAAATGTTCTGCTACGTCGTGTTTACCCCTTATAACCATTGATTTTTCGCTAACATATATTTTTATAACATTGGTATAACAGAAGATATTAAGGTAACTAACAGGCTAAAAGCATTTAGTGGACCACCCTGTATATCATTTCTTTTTTTATCAATAAGTTTCAAAAACACTGCCAGGCACAGTGCTAAGGTGGTAGCTGATGTCTTTCAGATACCATAACAGAGCAGCTTTGGTTGTCAGCGCTCTTCAAGTGGAAAAGAATCCCCTTTGCGCTCCAGGACCATGCACACCTGTGGGAGTGCATTCAAACTATGCAATACCAAGATGGAGATTACCGACTCACACTATACATGCAGCTCTAACATTGAGTCCGCCTCGGGGGGCTCGGACAGCCCCTAACTCCCCAAAAATGAAACTTAGGTTTTTCCCATTCTTTCAATTTCAGTTTCACCTGATACGGATGCTAGATGTTGATATTGTATTTTGTGATAGTCACGAAGAAATGTATCGGATACAAAATGAAGCATTTGTTCATTTTAAGTGTCTGATATATTTTCTACACATATATTACATTCCGTACTGTGTAGTTATAGCATGTATTAATACACATTGCAGATCACTTGTATAATTAAACATTTCTTGTATAATTCATATTAAAAAACTAGAAATTTTATACAAGTACTGTAATGTGTTAAAATGTTATATACATTAATATACAGGTTGCCCCACCCAAGGTCGAACACCTAAATATATCTACTTTATTTTTAATGATATGAAAAATGTTTCAAACACAGTTTGAATGTTTTCAAAAGGAGAGTATCGTACATGGAACATTTTTTTTCGAATTTTTTTGGGTCGCCACTATTTTTTTGCCAGACAGCACGTACTGCTTTTTTATTGCATCATATAGCACGTCTTAGGATTCATTAAAGTATGTCTATCTTATGACCTTGAAGTGAACTTGAACATTAAAAAAATAATGAACTTCTGAAGTAATGTTAGGATGGTATGTGAACTTATTTTCTATGTTACAAATGCTCAGAGTGATGTCCATTGGTGGCAATATACTGTCTAAATTATGGAACTAAAACGATAAATTATGGATTCTGATACTGTTTCTATTCTCTGACGTGCGTGATAGCCGCACAAGTTGTAATTATTCGATTCTTCATGTTTTCCGGAGTTGGTGGTGCTGGTGGTAAACGTTTTTCTTAATTATTTTTTCAATGTTCAAGTGCACCCGAAAGTCATAAGTTCAACATATTTGAATGCACCTTAATACGTGGTACATGATGCAATAAGAAACCATGCTGTCTGGCGAAAAAATAGCGGCGACCTAAAAGTCTAAGCGTAAAAGAAAATGTTCCATGTACAATATGCCCTTTCTGAAAACATTCAAACTGTGTTGGAAACATTTCTCATATCATTAAAAATAAAGAGGATATTTAGGTATTTAATCTTAGGTAGAACACCCTGTATATAAACTGTCCATCTAATAAAGAGAATGCAGAATTTCGTAGTGCAATTGACTTAATTGAAGTAAATTGACTTAGCACACTTGTAAGAATTCGAATCATACGTACTTAGCAGATCTATATTAATTAGTTTCATGAGTGTAGCCAGGTTATCAGTCAGGGGGAGGTAATGTAATTGTTTTCCTCCGGAAAGGGGCGGGGGGGCAAGTTCAGTTTTTTCCTTCAAAAGTAGTGCAAAACCTACTTTTTTCCGTCCAGGGCGAGTGCCCGCCCCCCTGGCTACATCCATGATTAGTTTTGAAAAAAAAATGATACTCTCAAATAGGTCGGTTAAACTTTGTTTATGTTTCTTATTTCTTTTGCTGTTCTTTCATTTTCTACATATTATTTTTATTTCATTTTATTTTTTATACACACTATGTGTCATTTAGAACTCGTTTTTCATTTCAGTTTCTTCCTGGTTTACAACACATATTGGATAGTGTAAGATTTACACAGATCATAGATAGGTTGGTTTCAGTTTTATACCGTCAGTGTATTTTATGTTCAATTTTTAATGGCAAATTGAAGCTTATGTTTTTTATTAATATATTACCCGTTTGTTGTTATAAGAAACTTCACACTAATAAATGAGTTTCTCAGAATATACATAGTTAGGTTTGTATACAAATTTCTTTTTAATAATTTCGAATAAATTTTCAAATATTCAAGCGTTATTTATCTATTACAATTTTTTATCAAGTTTTAACATGTGAAAATGTATTATGCATGTAGTAGAAAACTCATTTATTTAAATTGAAATGTGGTCTAAGCATGGCAGTATGTGCATGTGTATTATGATCTAAAATACTTATATGTATTTCGGTGCAGTTGAAGAATATCAATGTCCTAATATATTTTGTTCATTTTAGTACATTTCAGTTAGTTGTAGTAAATACATAAGTGACCTTATCGGTATTGAATTGCCAAAGTATTAATCACATGTGCATACCGTATGAAATATTATTATTAGTATTTTATGTAATGTTTGTTTCAACGATTGTTGATACATCTGTTTTGATCTATTTAATGAATAAATTACCAATTGCGTAATATTTTATCTTGTATTGTAGATTGTGTATTGTACTTGTTCATGATGGAAGATCAAATAATTGTAGTATTTAATACATTCAAAATATATCTACAGGTACCTGAAAAATGTATTTCCTAAAGTGGAAGAGACTATGTTGCTGGATATTTTGGAACAGAGTGATAATAATGTACAAAAAGCATCAGAAAAGCTAATTGATTTAGGGTATGAAAAACGAAATCCGACAGCCCCTAATTCGTTGGCAAAAAAGAGAGAAGAGCAACAAGTAATATATTAAAACTTTTATCTGTTTTAAGAAATTATTATAGTAATTTTTATCAACTTCGAATTGGATGTTTATAGGCAAAGATTGAACAAGCGGCTCCTACTCCTCCACCACGTATGAAAAGCTTAGAAGAGAAAAATAAAAGTGAGTAGCTATTTTTAAACTGTTTTTTTTTTAAATACCAACGTTAATGTTTTCATTAATTCGAATTGGAAATTTTAGTGAAAGCACGTTTAATGGAAAAGTATAAATCCGTACCAGAAAGAGTAATAGCACTTGCTATGGATAGTGTTGATTACGACGAGGAAAGAGCCATACATATATTGGATATTATGGTCACAGAAGAAGCTTCAAGACCCTTATTTATGTCTAGCAGTGAAAGGTAAATTAAAACTTTATAAATAGTTTTTGTTTCTGCAATTATCCATTAAAACATTATGTAATTTATAACTATCAAATTTACCAATATGAACTAACACTGTTTTCGAAAGATATTTTTCTAAATCTTTCGATTATCTTTGTATGTCGTACAAATTTAACCAGTTTTACATTAAGTATACAAATTTGCAGTAGTAGAAGTGATGAAAAGAAGAACAGTCCGCCAGTAACTGAAGCCGTAAAATTAACTGCATCACCAATTAAGAAAGTAGTTAAAGATCCAGAAACAGAAAAATCTAAACGATCTAAAAATAAAATAGAAATTCCAAAGTAAGGCATATTGTAATTGACATATCATATTAAAACAATATTTTTGTGTATTAAGTAAGTGAAGCTAAAGGCAGTGATATGCAATTAAATTTTGTAGAGTCTCTCGAGGAACCAGTACCACAGAAGACAATGAATACAAGTCTCCAAATCTAACAAAACCTATTGGACCAAATCCTGATTTATCAAAGGGAGCTAATAATGATTTGCTTCTGTAAGTTAAATTTTGTCTCTGCCATTTTCTCTAGTTTTGTTTCATATAGGTATATATTAGAAACAATTAAAATAATCTAAATATTGTTTTCATTGTAATTTTTTAGTCCTGACTATGCACCATGGTCAGGGCCAGATCCAAATTTGTTGACAAGTGGAACATTTACCAAATCAATAGCACATGGACATAATTTGAGTTTGGTTTCTGGGAGTCGTTATGTTGCCAAAGGTCCTAATCCAGAAATGAGGAAGGGCCCGCTGGGAGGATTAAGTCAAGGTTCTATTTACTCTCAAAGGAATGCGATGAATACTGAATGTCGTGGTAAATGAAACGTGTGCAACTGTTTTTTCCCTAATTTCTCTGTTCGTTAAAGAAAAATGGATTGTTATGTTTCACTTTCATTTCGATTATGTTTTTATGCATTATTTATTCGACGTTTCTATATGAATTTGGATGCCATTTTACGAATATAAAAGACAGTTGATTATCCTTAATGAATTGAAATATTAGTTTGTTACTTTTTCATATGTCGTGTAAGAAATTTGTTTTCATGAACAATATTACTTTAGACAAATAATCATAGATTTTACAGTTTACTCGTTGCTCAGATACTTATTAAAGTTATATTGAATAGTACTTGTTATGTCCATTTTGTTATCAGTTAATAAACATTTATCTTTTATTGTACTTTTATGTTTGCTATAAAACGGTTACTTTAGTTATATTTAGTGCAGAGAAGAGATATTTGGTAAAGTAGTAGATAAATTACTAATTACAACAAAATGTGCAAAGAAGTGTTCAAATTTACTTATTTGTACCCACATTATCATACTCTACCATATGTTATCAATTTGAGGGTATCTTAATGCTTCCATTTGACATATCTCGTGATCGTTAATTGTACATAAATATGTCCAAATTTCTACACGTTCATGAATAATTTAAAAGACTTTTGACCTTCATTGAATTTTTCTGTATATCGTATTTGAATACAGAATTGTCGATAAACTTCTTTGCAAATACGAATCAAATTTCTAATTGTTTTAATCCAACGTAACATAATGATAGGTGTAATAGTAGTAGTACTTATTCTGTATCAGTATTAATACGAATTTTAGTATCTGTGGTACAGTGTATTCGTTTCTTAAATTATATGAAAACTTACACAATTGCCCTGTCTTAAGGGAGTAAAGTGTTGAAATATACAGTCGATTACAGAACTAAAAATGTACTTTGACGTACATGGACATTTACGTTCGAACATGTTTCATGTGTCAACGTGTTTAATGTTACTTATATCGTATGCATTCAATCATTTGGTATGCCTTTGCTGAAATGTTCATTTCTCTAACTATGCATTTACGAGACATGACATTGAATTACATATTTAAATAATATGTGAATGTTTATAACAATCCAAATGTTTTTATAATTTATATTTCAGCACTGATGAAATCCTTAAGATTCCGATAGTCAATTTCCTTTAAAGATTATTGGATTTATAATTAGTAGTATATACTTAGATTCCATTATATACAGTATTATTAAATATTTGAAGAAAATGTAGGTGTAAAAAGATATTTGATTAGTGCAAAAGACATTTGAGGAACTATTAATTTTTATAAACTGTACGAATTTTCAATTGTACTAATTAGAAACGATACGAATATAAATTTGCATATCCATAATGCAAACTCCCAGTCGATTATTGCATAAAATGTAGGCCATAAACCAGAATAGGGTGTCTAATAATGAACTAAACGAGGAAAAATTTTAATATTTATATGTGCTATAGTTAAATCAATGTACAGAAGTATTTTCATAGCTTAAACCAGAATAATCCTGCCTTTGACAAAACCTAATATGTGAATAAAAATTAATAACAGATGGGCTGTGGCTGAAACATTAGTTGAGAGCTATTTTTATAGCTTTTTGACTCTTAAAAACTAGCAGGAATAAAAATGATCTATTTTGACTATATTTTGAGTATTGCCTGGTATTACACACAAAAGGTTCATAATAAATGAAATAAATGAATACTTCGATTAGATTGTCACTGTAATTTGATATTCCAATGTAAAGGATTCTCTTACATGCAACTATTTAGATATACAATGGTTTGAAGTTCGTCTATGGGATGTATTGCTATGGAGTGACTAACAGTCAATATGTAAATTGCCAAATTCGTTTCTATCGAAACTCTTCCATCCAGTCCTTTTTCAGAATACTATTTTACAATGGTATAACACGAAGAAAAATTTTTGTCACAATTCTTTCCATATTACATAAAAATGACTTAGATATTATACAAGATTGTGTGCAATAGATGTTCGTTACATTGTGCTGTCATTAAACTAATAAATGTATTTTACCAATGAAATTAGTTGATCCAAAATATGAATTTTCTGTTATGTTAGTGATATAAGATATTCACTGTATATTCAAATCGTAATGTTAAGTATTAACGAACGGTGTCACCCTACTTCATAATTAAGATTTCATGTTCCAAGCAATTTCTCTTACATACATATTATTTTATTTACAGAAATAGAACTATTTTTAACAAATTTTATGCAATACGAATGTATGAAAGGAAATCTATATATTTAGATATTTTAAGAATTAGTCTTTGTTTCATATGATAGCTATAATGTCGTCAAAAATTGTATTTACCCTGGTTTTAGGGCAAATTTTTAGGTACAAAGAATTGTAACAAATTCCTTATAATGTTCCGAAGTCCTCAAATTAAATGATTATTATACTTGAAGATAAATCAGAACAATCCACAATTAGCAGTATAAACATAATGTAAATGCAGATAGTATATACTGAATATCACAGTAATACAAAACTTGTATTTCATTGTATTTACACATATCTGTACAATAAAAACATCCATAACCATTCTTCTTGTGCAATAATTTATTAATGGAGTTCTATAGATATAGTATGCGATTCTTTACAGATATTATGCAATACATACTATGTGATTCTATAAAGTGTTAGACAGTAATATATAAATGTACAATTGTTAAGTAATCTGTAATATAAAAAAAGAAAATGTAGTCTAATCAATTTAATATACATACTTAATATTTTTTTGTCATTATGTATACTTAAATGATATTTATTTTCTATTTATACTAGATGACAACAGAAGTATCGAGTATAAACAAAATTCTTATATACATTCAAACGTCCGTTAATTTAGGAAAAACAATGTATGTTAGCATTTATCATCTTTTCTTATAATGCTTAAACTTCGTCTTCGTTTAAAAGCATATTTGGTATACCATCATTAATAGGAAATTTTCTACCAGATTCTGGGCATAACAGATCTCCATTAATAACTTCAACTTCGAGTAATACGTGATGAACTTTCTTCAGAAATTCTTCATTCGTCTCAATGTCTGTAGAACGGTGCTGTAACAAATTCGAACAGATATATATATATATATATATATATAAATTTCAACCTTCATCACTTGAATTCACACTACAGTACTATTCAGATAAAAAGAAATTTGTTTTAAACTTAATAGCTGTCTTTACAATTCATTCAATAAACATTTATAGAACAAGTTTTTCCTCATCTTAAGTTTTTCTTTACATTTTTTAAACCATTTTGAGTGCTAAACAGCAAGATCACACTGCTCACTTTTCATTTTGAAAAGTGTTAGCACATCAAGGTAGCAAGCTCATCAGATGATATGCGCTTGGAACCCACTGCAGTGTGAAAAAGGAACATAATACAAACACTTGTAGCAGTCAAATGGTTAAATAATGTCATAAAGTATACATAACATTTATCTTTCAGAGATTATAATGAACTGTTCAATCTACATTACAAATATTCATTATTTTCGAAATTGCATATATTATTAACAACATATTTTTCACTAAAACTGTTATATGTTTATATTAAATGTTTTCCATTTAGGATTTCTTTCTATACTACTGTATTCAATATGATAAAGGTAAAAAAAATTCGACTTGCTCATTTCAAACACAATTTCTAAATTTATTTAATCGATTACTATTCTTTTAAAGTGTTCTATATATCAACAATTATGACAATAGTATGTATATGGAATTTTTAAATTATGTTAATAAAATATTTAAGGATTATTTGTTTTCTTATAAAATTTAGTATAACAAGGAACTTACACTCTCCGCGGCTTTCCACAGTGTGGCCCAATCGAGTTTTGGGATTATTCTTGCAATAAATTCTGAATTAAAATCCACTTCTGACACTTTAATATCTTTCGCCTAAAAATTCACGTAGATACATTTCTTTCATTCATGTTAATCTTACTGAAATCTAAACGTTATAGTTTACAATCGCTTCAATATAATGATCACGTTTTTCGTAAAATTCTTATTTAATTCGTATGACAATTAACCTCTAAATGAGGAAAACATTTGGAACTTACAACAATTCCTAAAGGATATCCGACCGTTACGCCTTTCAGGCATTTTGAAGTCAGCATATTATGCGTTAGAAGTTTCATTTTTTTATTCAATAAATTATCTTCTTGGATGCACAGTTGCGAAAAGAAAATCGTGTTATTCTTTCGTCAACGTTTAGCGTTATAAGGGTTATAAGTAGTTCATCGCACGCCAGTTTCGTCGCCGGCGTTTAAGTACAGGTTTATGCGCGCCACGAGCCCTCTCCGAGCTTCTAATGTAACTCAATCTGAATACACGGAATACACTTCAATCACAGACGAGATATAATAATAGACCTAACATGCAATGTAATTTTCTGTCCCATGCTTCGAGGGCGTCAGAAGCCCCCTTTCCATTTTAGTGTCAATACCCGACGTGACCGATAAAGCATGGATTCTGAGTATTATTAGCACAAATGAAGTGTTGTATATTCCATTCATATTACGTATATGTATATGATTTGACGGGAATAGTATATATTTTTTCACTTAACTACAAAACAATTTATTCTAATGCATCGTTAATGGACATTTTATTAATGTTACTTTTTACATGTTCTTGTTTTATTCGTTTTTATATCTTGCCTTAAATTTGTATATTTGTAACAGATAAATTCAGAATAGATGTAGCTTCATAAATAGTCTATCGAATCTACCTTTTGGTCGGTGGCTTACAATTTGTAAGCCAAATTTTTTTGAATGCCTTACCGTAATGAGCTATCTCGCAGCTTCCGGGAATCGGGCGACGTCACGGCGTGCGAGCGAGAGCGGTAGAGCGAGCTGCAGTATCCGTGCTCTCCGTCGGTATTGACGCGTGCCGAGGAATTCGGTGATTTATGGGGGGAAGTGTGCGAGCGAGAGAGTACGGTAGACCGTGCCTCGGTATCGGTGCTCTCCGTCGATCCAACGCGCTAGTGACGTTGCGGTCGTCAAGGAAGGTTGTTCAAGCCGGCAAAAACAATTCAACAGGAACAAACCTGCGTACGCCCAATACATAACGGCGTCAGCTTCCTCACTTTCTCGTGAACCGTCGCGAAGGGTGGTCGCGCGTCTCGTACTCGTCCTTTCTCTTGATACTAACCCATTTGTTTGTTGCAGGCATTCGACAACCATCAATTTATTTACTGTGCATATTATAAATTTATTTACTGTGCATATTGTTGTGTCCCCTCTCTTGTTACTAATCCCTTGTATGTTACAGATGTTCGAGAACCATTGGCTTCGATATTTATCTTCTTAT